TTATCTCAATTAAAAACCTTAATTAATTGAAACTTATTGTTAAACTTTAAATACTGTACGTTTTTCGTGTTTTTCATTATATATTTTAACGTTCATATTACTATTTGATTACTTGGACAATTTATTTTATTAGTGAAGTAATTAAATCGTTTCTTTGATCTTATCATGAAAATCATGTATTTTTATTGGACTACAGCAGACAGAATCCCGCAATTTGAAAGAGGCTACCCCTCACACGGTTTTTTTTGTATTGATGTATTGATGATTGATTCTAATAATACACAAATCTAATAATGGATTTATAACCACCGAAACCTTGGGAATTAAATCTACTTCTGTTAGATTATCCTTTATATCCTTCATTTTTGCCTCTTAATATAAAACTGGTTGATTATTACATTCAACCATTTTTATCTAATTTTGTTAATATCTTCTTAAAATTAGTATTTTGGAGAGTTTTCCTATTTACAATCAGTTTCCTTTTTAGGCAGTATTTCATCCTTATAAATCAATACGACCAAGGACTTACGAATGTAATATGAGCGTCCATCTCAAAAATATGTGATATTAAAGATGATATTTCAGATTAAATAAATATTTCCTATGGAAATAAATATATTTAAAAAATTATTTAAATTCTGAAAGATATTCTGAATTTACGTTTATTGATAACAAACGGTATTCACTTGAGGAAAAAATTAACGTATTTAATTTTTATGGATTAGCCATGTAAACCATGGCCAAAGTAGATCTATGGTTTTACCTTCTATAAACAGCTATGCTTGATTTATAAGATTGTTATTACTTAGTTAGTTAATCATTACGTTGGTAGTTTAAAAATAATATTCTAAACTATTTTTTTCTTATCTTTATCAGTGTTGTGATTTTCGAGAAGAAAGCCAGTGTGATAATTGCTCAGTTGGGTGACAAATCAGAAAAGGTTCGCCACAGCAGGGAGAGGACTGCAGCCAAACTCTCAGATAACTCATCTTTCAACCTCATATTTTTGGGCAAGGGTACATATATTCCAAATAAAATTTGTTTATTCGTGTAGCGTTGTTATTTTGTGTCAGATCCGCCTGGTCTGATGGATTTTCAAAACCGGGCCGTTTGTTAGACATAAATTGTGTAATCCGAACCCTAAGTAGGGAACAGAGCAGGACCACATGGCGAGGATCTGTCCATATGTGACCTGGGAAATACCGCGAGTTTTGTTTTCTATGTTTATTTTCTTTTTTTCATCCAGGGCTCAAGTGAGAGAGTAATCTTAATGGGAGTGTTTGAAAAACAAAAATCAGTCTTCTACACAAGACAAAAAATAGAGTTTAAACGCATCAAAACTCGTTTGTCAAATCTATCAGTGAAAATTGGGCTCTTTTCATACCGACAAAGGGACGACAAGATTGGTGGGTCACAGATTTTGACCTAAGGTTTTTTGGTCATTCTACACTTCAAAATATCGGACACGTATCCCCCACTTCTTGTGAATAGGCCCTGGTTTCGTCCAAAAAATTTGTTGAAGTTGAAGTTTACCGTTTTTTAATATTTTTATTTTGCCGTTCTACTTGCTCAAATCAACCATGTGAATATCTCATTTTACAGGATTTTTATGTAGATTGCAAAGAAAATATATTAAAAGCTATTAAAAGTTTATCAATAACCAAAAAATTTCTGAAATCAGGATTTTTTCAAGTTAACTAAGTTATAATGTTTTTCGTGAAGCCAATATGAAATTTCGTTTTAACACCTCTAGAGACACCCAAATATAAATTTTTGTTTGTATTTAAATTTATAGATTTTTTGACCCCTAAAATTTGTCCGATTTTTGAGACGTCGTGGATATCACAATATCTTATAGAAACGGGCTATAATTCAAAAAAGGCTAAAAGGATTTTAACAACAAATAGACCATTTGAAAGAAGATATATATATATATATATATATAAGATATATAAATATATATATATTTCTATAGAAAATAAACAAAATAGCAAAATTATTTGTTAGAAATTAACGTCTTTTTTTTTACATCGAAATACTAGTCCGATTTTAACGTATGATACATAATATACATTATAAAATATACATACTATACATTATAAAATTCAATTGACAATTTCTTAAAAACGAATAATCGACCATGAAAATAATTCTTTTATAAACTAAAATTCAATAAAGACAAGACAGTTGCTCTGTGCTATCATAAAAGAAAATTGGAGAAAACTATAAACAGAAAATGACGAATCTGGCTTGACATTTGAGAATTTTAATAAACTTTTAGGTGGTACTTGAACTGAGTCAAGTAAGCCATTAAATGTTGTTTTCTCTGGTCGTTGTAATATATTAAAACGTTATTAAAATATTTTATTGCCTTTACTATACTTGAAAAGAACTGCAAAATATTATGTAAATTTTTTGGTTGGAAAAAATACAAGAGTATTTAATGAAGTTTCATAAAAGAAACGCTATTTTACGAATAAAAAATATAATCTTAGTATTTCCAATTTTGATATTTAGTGTTGTGTTTCAGTGTAATTTTATCGGATTTTTCGCTCTTGATCTAAAAACGGACTTATCATGACTTTTATTTATTGTTCAAGTATTTAAATCATAGTCGAAGTGGGCGATTTATGATTTCTAGAACTGCTCTAGGTTTATTTCAGGACGTTTGACTAATAGAACTCAATCGGCAGCGATCTGAGTCTAGACGTAATTTCCGCGGAAAGCCTGCTAATTTCGTGCTGGAACGCCTTGTGATTCACGATCAGTAGTTTTTTTTTCCTAGGATTTGTAGTATTTTTAATTAATGTGTGGACGTTCGTCACTTTCTAGAAAAGGTGGAAACCTTAATTTTTAAACCGCTGATCAGAAAGTGTAAAATTAGATTATTTAAAACATTTGTCCTCAATTTACAAATACTCAAGAAATAATAAAGACGTTTTGTTACAATTTTCTTAAATGCTTAGGATGAGAAAACAAACAAAACCCCTGATAATTTTCTTTCGGAATTTTGCAAGTTCTATCAACTACTAGGATTTATTTTCCTCTAGGCCTAAGACTAAAGTTTATTCATTTACGTTAATGCGGACTTATTAATAAAAGGCTTAAAATTATTAAAAATTTTAATTAGTATAAAATATTTTTGAACGTTGACTTTATATGGTATACAAGAATAGTATAAATCATATTGTGTTTTATGGGAACACGCCATTAAATGCAGACAAGTCTTGGAATGCAGGCTGAACATATTTCTTCCCTTTTAACCTAAAAATGCTTTTTAATAAATGGTCGCACAATACTTTAAGGGGGAAGAAATGCGCTAGCAAGGGAGGAAACGTGCTGGCGGCTCGTTTTGGCAGCGTAAACCGCCTCTGTGGCTACCAAGCCAAAAAAACAAAAAAAATATACACAAGCCCCGCGAAAAAATGGGGATAAGGCGATCGAACAAAACCGTGCTCCTTGGCAAATTAAAATACATTATTCGTATTTATTCAACTGGACGTCCAGTAATCTTGCCCAGAAACGTTTCCATTTCGAAATAAAAACGAAAGTGAAGGGGGTGTGTAATTTGATATATTTAATCTTGCCAATAATTAATTAACAATAACAATTAATTATTAATTTAATATCCTTCCTATTTTGTGAAAAAATAAACTCGAACGCCTGGCTAGGTACTTGTCTGCAACACCGCCGAACACATGTGTTATGCGGTTTGCCTACTCTCCTGAAAATGTAGTTAAAAACTATTTTACGTTATAAATTATTTTATGACAAATAATTTAAATTGATCTAAAATTTTATTCTGTTTGAAAGGATTTTATCCGTTATTTTATCATTGTTTTAATAATTTCTAATACTAATAAATAAATTTTTAGTAAAGATTTAATTTTATTAATAAGAGTGTTGACTTTCTGTCGTTTAAGATCTTTTGATCTTTCAAAAAGCTTGTAAATGCAACATCATTTTTTTTTTGTTATAGGTCATTTGTGGTCGAATAATTTAAATTGATCTAAAATTTTATTCTGTTTGAAATGATGTTTCAATTATTTTGTCATTTTTTTCTGTTAATTATTTCATTGTTGTTGACATCCTGCTATCTAAGGTCATTTGATTATTTTATCTTTCAAAAAGCCGTAAATGAAACATCATATTTTTGTTATAGATTATTTTATGACGAATAATTTAAACTTATCTAAAATTTTATTATGGTTAATACGATGTTTTAATTATTTATGATTTTTCAATTATTTTGTCATTGTTATTGTTTCAACAAATTCATTTCATTGTTATTGACTTCCATTTAAGGTCATTTGATTATAGATTATTTTATGAGTAATTTAAATTGATCTAGAAATTTTTCTGTTTGAAATGATTTTATCAGTTATTTTGTCATTGTTATTGTTTTAATAATTTCGTTGTTGTTGACTTTCTGTCGTTTAAGATCTTTTGATTTTTCAAAAAGCTTGTAAATGCAACATCACTTTTTTTTGTTATAGGTCATTTTGTGTCGAATAATTTAAATTGATCTAAAATTTTATTCTGTTTGAAATGATTTTACAATTATTTTGTCATTTTTATTGTTTTAATTATTTTTGGATCACATCCTGCTATTTCGTGTATTATTTGATATATTTAGTCTTACTTACTTAATAATTAATAACAACTTAATAAATTATTAAGATAATATCCTCGCTATTATGTGAAAAATAAGCTAAAACGCCTGGTTAGTTTTTCTGCAAAACCGCCGAACACATTCGTCATGTGGATTGCATACACACTTAACAATTTAGAAAAATTAAACTCAATTTTTATGGATTATTTTATCATAAGTTATGATTTTTATTATGGTTTTTCAATTGTTTTGTGAATGTTATTGTTTTGATGATTTTATTGCTGTTTACTTCCCGTCATTCAGGTCATTTGATTGCAAAGATTTTGGAATTTTTTTTTATCGACGCAAAAGTTTTTTTTAAAACTTAATAATTAGAAATATTTTACAGGTACAGGCAAACGAGGTTTAGTTCTAGGCGAGTGCGAAGGAGGGTTGTGTTCAAGCACGGAGACTGCAATGTCGTCCAAGGAAATGTAGCGAAGCGAAGAAGACGTTATTTGCAGGTGATTTAAACTTTTCGCACCATTCAATAATTTGTAGATCGGTCATCGTCCATTTTTTTGGTTTATCAGACGCGTTCCGATTTTACGCAGTCTTCAGTGACCGTCTGACATCCTTGTAGGTTCAGTCGTCTTGCCTCAACCTCGACCATGTTATGGCGAAAAACAACACAAAACTTGTGAGAAAATCAAATTAATCTTTTTCGCTTATTGTATACTAGGTCGATAATTAATTTAAAAATATGTAAACAATAATTTTAAAAAAATGGAAATTTTTGTGAGAACCAATGGTGGTCTTTATGATTATAAGCGACCGGATTTTTGTATCAACCGAAAAAATAGAAAAAACAATAGGAATATTAAAAACCACTAAATTGTCGTATATAGTACAATATAAAATACAATAGGGATTTAATTTGTAGAGAGGTTAAGAAGTCAAGATGTGCTTGAGATATTTTGGTGTCTTTTGCGTTATGGCGTCTTTGAAAATAGGGAGGTCCAAAAATATCCAAGTATAGTCTAGTTCCAAACTTATCGTAAAGCATCAGACTAAGTATGATATAAAATAAGTTATTTCCTTAAGTACATTCAAAATGAAGCCTAAAATTTATTTAGGTTGAATATTGAGAGTCAAAATCTTGGACTTTTTGTTTGTTGTTTGCAGGATATTTTTACAACCCTCGTCGATGCTCAGTGGAGGTGGACGTTACTCGTCTTCGCTCTAAATTTCCTTTTAAGTTGGCTGGGGTTTGCCGTGATCTGGTGGCTAGTTTTATATACACACGGTGATCTCGACCCTTCGATTGCCTCCAACTCGACGTGGACGCCTTGCGTAAGGGATGTCACCACTTTCAGCAGTTGTTTCCTATTCAGCGTCGAGACCCAACACACAATTGGTAAGCTTTTTTAATATTGGCCGACGTTTAAAGTTTGACAAGTTGATCATGCAGGTTATGGCGCGAAACACACAACGGACGAATGCCCGGAAGCGATATTTGTCATGTGTCTGCAGAGTTTGGTCGGCGTCATGATACAGGCTTTTATGGTCGGCATCGTCTTCGCAAAGCTTTCCAGGCCCAAAAAGAGAACTCAGACTTTACTCTTTAGCCGGAACGCAGTCATTAACCAGAGGGACGGACAGCTTTGCCTCATGTTCAGGGTGGGCGACATGCGTAAATCGCACATAATCGAGGCGCACGTTAGAGCCCAGCTAATTAACAAAAGGGTAAATTACGACGCGTGATTTCCGTCGCGTCGCCGTTTCATTTATGACCTTTCTAGGTGACCAAAGAAGGCGAGACGTTGCCGTTCTACCAGCACGAGCTCAAAGTCGGCGGAGACGGCGAGGAGGACAAAATATTCTTCATATGGCCGACTACGATAGTTCACAAGATAACACCAGACAGCCCGCTGTACTCACTCTCAGCAAGTGAGATGCTACGGCACAGATTCGAGATAGTGGTCATTCTAGAAGGTAACGTTGTTAATGATTCGTCATGCGTCTAATTTCTTAACTGTTATTAAGGAAATGTTGACTTCCTTCTCACAACTAGACCTAGTCCTAATGCAACCCTTGCTATTACACACTGGCACTGCTAAAAATAACATTACCCAGGTAAAACCTGTGATAATTAATGTGCTTATTTCGTAAAATTAACATTGAGAAAATGCCTTTAGGAGCTAATTTCCCTGTTGTAAGTAGAAATGTAATTGTCATAACACCGAATCTTATAGCAAATAAAAGGATTTTTGTTTTAAAACAATGTTTTCTTTAAAAAATTTTTTAACATCAATTCGACTATATTTGTTTTCTGAAAAAGAGTTTTATTTTATTTGCTGATTATTTAACACATATACACTATAATAGCTTACATATTTCCAACTGTATTACGCTTTCATTTTCACTGATTCATTTTCACCCATTCTCTTTTTTTGAGATGATATTCAAGCTCTCACTCTCACTCTCTCTCTGTATCTCTCTCTTTTCTTCTGTTCCGCACTTAATCTTTCTCTCATTAACAATATGTTTCGCTTAACCTTTTCTTATTTGACCTTCCGTACTAGGTCCCTATCTTTTTATCTGTCTTCCTTCCTCAATCGTTTATCTTATCTTTCTTTTTTATCTTTTTTCTTTGGCTTCCCTTACTTGCAGTTTTTCTCCCTCCCTCTCTTTCTCTCCCTCTCTCTCTCTCCCTGTCCCTGTCCCTGTCCCTCTCCATCTCTCCCTCTCTCTCTCTCTCTCTCTCTCTCTCTCTCTCCCCTCTGTCTCACTTACTCACTCATTCACTCACTCTCGCTCCCTTTCTTTCTATTTTCATCTATCTCCCTCAGTCACGTATTTTCTCCCTTAATCTCATTTACTTTATCTTTCTTGTTTCTTTTTGTTTTCTCATACTTGCACTTTTTCTCCATCATACTCTCTCTCTCACTCACTATCTTTATCTATGTTCTCTTCTATCTATCTCACTCACACAATCTCTCTCTTTTCTTCTGTCTTCCACCCTTAAACTTTCTCTCATTAACAATCTGTTTCGCTTTTCTCTAGTTTTTTTGTTTATTTGACCTCCCATACTAGGTCACTCTTTTTTCATCTATCTCCCTCTCTCAATCATTTTCTCCCTTAATCTCATTTACCTTATCTTTATTTTTTCTTTGGTTCTCCTTGCTTGCATTTTTTCTCCCTCTTTCTTTCTCTCACTTACACTCTCTTTCATATAATTTCTGTTTGTCTAGCTTACCTTGTCTTTTCTTGCTCGCTTTTTCTTTCTCATCCTCTGTTTATCTCTCTCACTTTCTTTCTTCATCGTTCTCTCCCCCCCTTCTCTCTCTCTCTCTCTCTCAAATTAAGATTGGTAACATCTTTCAATTAATGAAGGTTTTTATTTGAGATAAAAAAGTCAGTGTCACGAGCGGGATTCGAACCCACGACCTTCGGCCAGATACGCCGCTGCTCTACTACTTGAGCTATCGTGACCTCGATCCACTCGGACACTAACCTCCCATCTCATCCCCACGTTTTTGAATTTTCCCTCCTTTTTGCCATTTTTTAAATGTCGTGTAATCGGATTGGATTCTCGGCGACAAATTGAAATGGCCACGGAGAGCTTTAGTGAAGTATACTTCATTTTAACTAATTAAATTCAATAGTTTTAGTGGTCCGCTTGACCAATTAATATCTTTCAAATAATTAAGGTTTTTAGTTGAGGGAAAAATGGCAAAAAGGAGGGAAAAGTCAAAAGGTGGGGTTGAGATGGGAGGTTAGTGTCCGAGTGGATCGAGTCACGATAGCTCAATTAGTAGAGCAGCAGCGTATCTGGCTGAACATCGTGGGTTCGAATCCCGCTCGTGACACTGACTTTTTATCTCAACTAAAAACCTAAAAAAGTATTTTTGTTCATTTATTTTTTTATAATTTACTTTTTAGTTGCTCAATTACTCTGTATATTAGAATATTTATTTCAATAGGCAATTTGAAGTAAATACATACGTAGTTCAATGTAAAAAGAATAGATGTATTATATTGACCACCAAAATTATTATTCGAAGTACTAAATTTTTAATTATTTTTATCAGCTTATGCTTAATTATATATATTTTTTCGAAATGAAATTTTCTTACAATTGAATAAAACGGGGAGTCGAAATGGGAAGTTTGTGGCATGGGCGATCGAAGTCACGGCAGCTCAAGTGATAGAGCAGCGGCGTATTGAGCCGAAAATCGTGGGTTCGAATCACCCCGCCTGTCACATAAATTTTTCCGAAAAAATTGTGTATAATTAATTGAGTAATTAGTGTTTAATAAATTAGAAGTAGGGTAAAAAATCTTGTGTGATTGATAAATAAAGCATTCATCATCTCTTTTCTCTTGATCATTCACTAACTTTCTTACACTATCTTTTTTCGTTACTGTATTTTCTTTATCATTTTCTCCTTCTTTCAATGTGCTGTTTCCTTTATAATGTTTTTTTAACTAATTCATTTATTCGTTAATTTTTTGTTCAACCCTCAGTTTTAATGCACAAGCAATATTTTTTACATAGTAAATTTATTCGTTGTATATTGTTTTTTTTGTTTTTTTGATGCAGGAGTGATAGAATCTACGGGCATGACGACCCAGGCGAGGTCTTCCTATCTGCCGAGCGAAATTTTATGGGGCCACCGGTTCGAACCGATGGTGTCGTTCAAAAAGGAAACCGGAGAGCACGAGGTCGACTACGGCCTGTTCAACAACACGTACGAAGTGGACACGCCGATCTGCAGCGCTCAGGCTTTAGACCAGCTAATGGGCATCAACACCAACGCCAACGGTAGGCTTTTTTCATCTTCATTAAAAAAAAACCTAACCCTCATTTCATAAATTAATTTTTTTTTGTCGACAGGTACCAAATTTCAAGTCGGCGGGAGCCTCGCGTCGGAAACGCCGGACCTGACCAGTATGGACTCTAATAGCATACTCTGTGATAAAGGCGATCCCGGCCTCCAGCACGTCATCATACACCCGACGGACATACCTGGCCCGGAATCTCGTATTTGACACAAACAGTGGTAAGAAGTTTATCATATTTATTTACATGAACCATTAGTGAAATCATCAAAAATTTTCATAGATGGTACAAAATAAACCAGTTAGCATGCAAATTTATCAAATTTAGGCGATAAGGTCTATACTATGTACAAACTGATCAATTGCACTGAAGGTATAAGAAATTACATGTCAGTTATTAATAATGCTGATGTTTAATAATGCTAAATACTATGATCATTCGGTTGATTATCATGGGACGAAGTATTTTTATTTTATATATTACCGACTCCACGGTTCATATCTTTTCTATTGATAGGTTGAAAAATTCCAAGATCATCGTGGTTGAAAACCTTTATTCAATTTAGTAATTTCCATGAATATTTCGGGCTCCTGGCCCATCATCAGAAACTGAACATAGAGAAATCTCATAAAGAATCTCATTACCATGTATTATACAAATGAGGTGACTAAAATAAAATATATGTTTCTATTACAGTTTTAAAACAATTTTGACGACATTCCCCTCAACAAATAAAGGGGGTGGAAAAATAATATATATGTATCATTGGCGTAGTCCAGGTATAAATACTTTTATTTAAAAAATTGGAAATTACTGATGGGTGTGCCTTCAGATTGGGAATTATACCATGAGATTTCTCTATGTTTAGTTCCTGATGATGGGCCAGGAGCCCGAAACGTCCATGTAATTTACTAAATTGAATAAAGGTTTTCAACCACGGAGATCTTGGAATTTTTCAACCTATCAATTGAGAAGTATTTTTAGTAGTAGCATGAAGTAAAATTCGTTGCATTTTCCCACTCTTTGAAATGCAAGATATTGTGTACAGTTGGAACTATGATATCAGTACAGGCAAAAAATCACATATAATATAAATTAGGCTAAAACTTAAAGCCTACAATGCACTCTTCCTTTAACATGCATTTCATTATTTTTTTAGCCCTTGAACATTTGTTACACATTTAATCATTGAGAGTGGGTCCATTACTCCTCGGACAGTCACGCGATACTACTAGGTTCTTGGTTGTTTGTACGGTCGAATAATTTTTTGCCAGATAAATAGATTAGATTCATAGTGTCTGTCGATATGAAATGCAAAAAACCATTTTTAGGTAGAGGCTATAGAAGAAGCCGAAGACCTCGTCGAACAACATTTGTATATTGTTTCCCCCCACATAAACCTAATTTGAAACTTCGTCAATTCATAATTCCCGAAAAACGTCCTAGATATGACTTTATAACCAAGAATATCGTTTTTTGACCTCCCACACTTCGCATCCTCAGAAGAGAATAAATCGTTTTGACCGATTAACTCCTCCTCAAATCTTACTTATTCGATCGTTTGTTTCATGTAACGGAGGGTTCCTCTGCATTTACTATTTATCCTATCAGCGCAGATGTTCCAAAAATGAAATAAAAAAGGAATATTAACCGATGATTATATCGAATCAATGTTTCATGTTCAAACTGTGTTATTTCAGTGGTTTTCTGTTAACTGTTATCTTTAGTACAATAGTAAGAGTATTATTTGCGTGTGTCTCATAAATATTCACTAGCGATACAGTTATAATATATCAACATAAATATGTGAAAAGAGGAGCAGATTTAGAAAGATAATGAAAAAGGGAGAGAAAGAGCGATGACATATAATCCAGTCTTATGCGAAGGAATTATGAAAGTGAAAAAGAAAATTGTGAGTGTGTGCGCGTTCGTGAGTGCGAGAGAGAGAAAGAAGGAAAGAGTGAGAGAGAGAGCATGTGTAAAACAACGGGAATGAGGGTAAGAGAAAGGGAGAGAGAGAGAAAGAGAGAGAGAGAGAGAGAGATTAAAGGAGACAGACGAAAATAAAGAAAAAGTGTTCTTAAAAGAAGTTATCCGGCTCTTTCTATTTGTACCACATATCCGAAATGATTGTAAAGTTTTTTTAAAATAGTTTTTCGAAGTCTTCAGGAAGGCGTCAAATACAGCGGAAAGCTCGGCGGCAGAAAAACAAGTTGGTTTTTTCACCTACAAGGCTTCATCCCTGATGTCTTTATTTCAATATTTATCATGAAGGGCGATACTATACTCAACAATCTCAAACAGGAAAATAGATGCGAGAACGGGAGAGGAGGGTTAGAGAGAGGGAGTCATAAGAAAAGAGGGAGAGAGAGAGAGAGAGAGAGATATAGAGAGAGAGAGACGGATTAAAGGAGGCCAAAGAAAAGAAAAAAAAGTGTTCCTAAAAAGGAAAATATATGAGTGAAATGAGAGAGAGGGAGTCATAAGAAAGTAGATGGAAAGAGAGAGAGAAAGAGAGAGAGAGAAAGAGAAAGAGAGAGAGAGAAAGCATGTGTAAAACAAAGGGAAAAAGAGTAAGAGAAAGGGAGAGAGAGAGAGAGAGAGCGCGAGAGAAAGAGAGAGAGAGAGAAAGCATGTGTAAAACAAAGGGAAAAAGCGTAAGAGAAAGGGAGAAAGAGAGAGAGAGAGAGAGAGAGAGAGAGAGAGAGAGAGAGAGAGAGAGAGAGATAGAAAGAGAGAAAAAGCATGTGTAAAACAAAGGGAAAAAGAGTAAGAGAAAGGGAGAAAGAGAAAGAGAGAGAGAGAGAGAGAGAGCGAGAGAGTTGGGGGAGGGAGGGATTAAAGGAGAACAATGAAAAGAGAGAAAAAGTGTACTTAAAAAGGAAAACAGATGACTGAATGGGAGAGGAAGTTGGAGAGAGGGCGTCATAAGAAAGGAGAGAGAGAGAGAGAGAGAAAGCATGTATAAAACAAAGGGAAGAGAGTAAGAGAAAGGGAGAGAGAGAGAGAGAGAGCGAGAGGGGGTGGATTAAAGGAGGCCAAAGAAAAGAAAAAGTGTTCTTAAAATAGAAAAGAGATAAACAGCTGAGAGAACGGGAGAGGAAATTGGAGAAAAAGAGGCATAAGAAAGGCGAGGGAAGGAGAGAAAGAGAAAGAGATAAAGAAAGAAAGAGAATGAGTGAGAGAGAGAAGCATGTGTAAAACAAAGGGAAAGAGAGCAAAGAGCAAGAAAGGGAGCGGAGAGAGGGATTAAAAGAGTCCAATCAAAAGAAAGAAAAATTGTTCTTAAAAAGGAAAACAGATAAACAGATGAGTGAACGCGAGAGGAAGTTTTAAAGAGAGAGAGTCATAAGAAAGGAGAGAGGAAGGTAGAGAGAGATAGATAGATAGATAGAACTAAACTAATTTTAGTTAATCATAATTACAAAGACATTATTGGATTTGGATGATGGATAGTCTCATTCAGTTTGTTACCTTAAAGGTACGTCGTTGTTATCCGCACAAAATTGTCATTGTTTATTAATAACAAATATACAGGTTAATGCTAAGTAATTTAATGTTTATGCATAAAGACGGTGACCTACATTTCTACACAACCGGCTCAAATTAATTACCCGCGATCTACCTTTTGTCGCGGCGTTTCCTGCCGGCCGACGGACGCGAGGCCAGGCCGGGTCGGGAAAACAAATCTGCCAAACAATACAAAACGAAAGACAAAGAGCAAAAATAAAAAAGTTCAATTGAGGTTCACTTGGGGAAAAAATACGTACAACGACTGGAAAGGTGCTCTGAGAAACTGCCCAGACTAATAACAGCTGTTAGCGTATTGAGAGCAATGAGGAAGCGTTTGGACGCAGGATGCACGAATTGTTCACTTCATTATAAGTAAAGCCATGTTCCTCGGACACGATTCATCAATTTTAATTTCAAAATTCTTTCCACTCTTCCAGCCCCAAGAAAGGCCACCTTGAAAAACAAACATAAAAATATTTGTATTGCACATTTTTTAATTGCACTTCGACTAGTGCGAGTGGCTAAAAGTTAATTTCTTTTAATATTGTATTAATATTGATTTTTTAAGACATCGATATTATTATTTTTTTTTAATGAGATGGATGGAAACAAAACTGGCCTCTATGACTATCACCAGATCATAATAGAAGTACATATTGCTTTTTAAAAGCCACATATAAAGGGTGTTCGGCAACTGTGTTACAAACTTTGCCAGTAGATTCTACATTGAAAATAGAACCAAAAAGCTCTTATTATCTATGCTCTGAATCTCAACAGTTTCGGAGTTATTTCACTTTTCCTGATTTTTTTAGATTTTGACGACTTACTTCCCATAAACAATGATAACTCCAAAAATAAAAGGTTTTGAACAAATCCGTTGAAACCATTCAAAACTACATTAAATTTCCAGTAAGATGCGATCAGTACTAAACTTGTAAACGTTGGGGAAATAAACGTTTTATTTATTTATTTTTTTAATTTTGAAAAACATTTTATGGTGATTCTAAACTAGTATTTCCAAACCTAGAGACCAGCAAATTTGAGAAAACGTACTCCATTTAATATCCTTTGTAGTGGTGTAATTGCTTTTTTAATTACTTTTTCAAAGATAAAGAAATTGTTGAAGGAAAGAAAAAACCGTGATTGACGGATTGGTAAGATTAAAAAAACTTAAGGAAATTTTGATTGAATTTATTAAACTTTTTTAATTTGGGCTCGAAACCGAAATCATGCAAGTGTTTAATTATTTACCAACACGACTGCAACTTTCATTAAAGGATTATTATATTATTATTCCCCGGAATAAAAGAGTTTTAAGATTCAAAACGTTTTTAGTTCATTCATTCAAAATTTCTTTACGTTTTTTAATTTTTTATTATTATTAATCTTTCCACTTTACCTATCCGTCAATCACGGTTTTTTTCTTTCCTTAATCAATTTCTTCAACTTGGAAAAAGTAATTGAAAATTACACTAATAAAAAGGACATTAAATGAAGTATGTTCTCTGAAATTTGATGGTCTCTAGGTTTGGAAATAGTAGTTTAGAATCATCATAGTAATTTTTTCAACTTAAATTTTTTTTCAAAGTTCTGTCTAATAAAACGCTTATTTCACGAAGTTTACAAATTTAATATTGATTACATATTATTGGAAATTTAACGTAGTTTCCGATGGTATCAACAGATTTGTCCAAAACCTTTTAGTTTTGGAGTTATCATTGTTTATTTGAAGCAAGGTCGTGAACTCTTTAAAACTCAGAAAAAGTGGAATAACTTCAAAACTGTTAATATTCGGACCACAGTTAATTAGGACTTTTTGGTTCCATTTTGAATGTAAATTCTACTGGCAAATTGTGCAACACGAGTAGCCGAACGTCCTGTATAACTTGGTAGCTTGGTCGATTCCGATCGTTTCGTATATTCTGGTTTTTTTGTACGTCACACTTTTTGGGCAACGACTAAAAATCGAAAATATTGTGGATAGGCAAACCAAATTGATATGAACGGCCAAACCACAAGTCCATCACCACAGAAGACCCCAAAAATAAAGGTCACAATTTAACTCGAATTTATTCAGAATTTGAAACAATTAACTAATCTTAGAAGCTTTTTATAAAGTTTTTTACGATCTAATTATATCGATGATGGAATTATGGATTATTCAAGACTTGTGTTTGACCGTATCGATTAAATTTTGACATGTTTCGACGACAAATCATAAAAAAAGAAAATTTCGTTAAAGGGTTAATAAACAAAAATTATTACTATAAATATTTTTTAAAAGAAAAATAATAGTTCCAATTTTATTGCATGTACCGCCAATCGGATACAAAGAAAAATAATGGATATCGGATTTGCATGAACTTATACATGACCACAGCGGATTTTGCATTTTTTTAAAATCTCCATTGAATATTTAATTTCGCTATGTCATACATACTGAATTTTTCATTGTTAACTACTGACCTCTTTCTTTCTCCCATTTTGCTTATATCTTACTCACTTTCTTGCTTACAAGAATCAGAAACGAAAAATGATCAAATAATCGTACACTAAAAAATAAATAGTGATCTATTATTTAAAAAATATATATATTGCCCTCCAATGTAGTTTTTTTGTAAATACTATGAAGGCTAAGTTACATTTTGGGTTTTTCAACATGCAAAATATATTTTAAAAATTTCTTTAATTTATGCTGATTGCTAAATAGTAACTAAAGGAAACCAGAGACCAAATATCAAACGCGAAATGGATTGGCGATCCAATTTTTTTTAAAACCACCTCTTTCCAAATGATTTGATTACAATACTAATAAGAAAACGACGATGTTCATAAAAATGTTAACCATACCTAAATGGCCAGTAAAGAACAACTGAAGAACGACATTTTTATTGTGAATTTTCAAATATTTGACCAAAATTCGTATGTACATATACGAATATCTTTCTCAGCCTATTTGCCTTTCTCTTTGTCTGCCAGGGTTCGATCTTATTCCCTTACTAACTGTTTCAGTCATTAACTAATTAACAAGACTACTAAACATACACTTTCTATCCTAGTGAGTAATTTTTGAAAAATAATTCAACCGATTTATTTTGTGAAATTTAGATTTAGGACCATTTCGTATTAGACGCAAAATATATATGCTATTTTTCCAATAACCCATTAATGCTATCATTTTTTCACTCACTTGGTCGCTCTGTTCTGTGTTTTTCACACACACACACACTCTCTCTCTCTCTCTCTCTCTCTCTCTCTCTCTCTATCTCTATCTATCTTTCTATCTATCTCTATCTCTATCTATGTATCTATCTATCACTTGATTTATTTGCTTTTCAGACTGATTTCTATCTGTATCTCTCTCTCTCTCTCTCTCTCTCTCTCTCTCTCTCTCTCTCTCTCATTTTGCTTACATCTTACTCATTCACTTACTGGCTCACAATTCTATTATTTATTCCTTTTACTTTCATCTCTTACCATGCTTTTGTTTTTCAGTCCTTCTCCTCTCTTTCTTCCTTCTTTGTCTCTCTCTCTCTCTCTCTTTTCTTATCTTTCTCTCTTTCTCTCTCTCTCTCTATATATATCTATCTATATATCTATCACTTGGTCTATATATTTTTTTCGTTTGAACTCCCTCTCCCTCTTTCTTACTTATTTACCAAATCTCTTTCTCTCTCTCATTTTGCTTATATACGTTACTCACTTACTGGATCACAAGTTCTATTATTTATTCCTTTTACTTTCATCTCTCACTCTGTTGATTTGTTTTCAGTCCTCCACCTCCTCCGTTTCTTTCTTCCTTTCTCTCACACTCCCTAGCTATCTCTCTTACTCACTTTTTCAATCACTCCTGCTTGTCCTATTATCATTTTTCCTTTTTTATCTTTCTATACTGTCTGACTTCTCACTCACCACCTCCCGCTTTTTTCCCTTGTCCGTCTATCTTTTTCTCAGTCTGTCATCTGTGTTTATACTCTTCAGTCACTTCCTCACAATAATATCATCCATTTCTTATTCTCTTTCCGTCTGCCTCTCTTTCCCTGATCTGTTTCTCCTTTTTCTATCTATCTCTGTCTATCTGTCTGTCTGTCTCTCTCTCTCTCTCTCTCTCTCTCTCTCTCTCTCTCTCTCTCTCTCTCTCTCTCTTTGTCTCTCTTCTCTCTCTCTCTCACTCCAGCTCTCTATTTTTCCGCATACAGGCAATCACAAACATACTATCTTGTTCACTCTGTCCTTTGAATTTGCGGCTTTCTACTTTACTTTATTAGATTCTATATAAAATTTATAAAAATAAAATTTTAATTTTCCTGAAGAAAAATTAAATACATAATCACAATATTTTAATCAAAAAGTACTTATAAAGATAAAAATGATTCACGCATTCAACCGCCTTTTTCTTACAAACAAATCCAGGTTATGGTTAGTTTTACTTACCTTAAAAGTGCAAAATAGAAATTCCACCATTGCATAAGACTTGAAAGTGATTTAAATAAAAGTGGTCTACGTATGAGAAAAACCATCTGCTCTGGCTTGCGTATTGTTTTGCAATTTAAACGTCACCCATTGTTCATCAATCAAGCAATTATGTAACAAACTGCTATGTTCCTTTAGTGAGATACAGTTTCTTTTTTCAGGTAGCTAACGCTTAGCTCTGTGTCGCCGGGGTTGTGCGGATCACCCACTAAAGACTTTTGTAAATACTGACCAATTAGGATAGTCGCTCAAAGAAAACAATTCGCAAAATTTTATCTCAACGAAGTAAAGCTGGCAGGGGGAATTAATTAAATTAAAATACAAAAACAACAACGTAATCGAATAAAACTTATTAATCAAAGACAGAAAATGTGATTTTTAGTGATAGTAGTGATGGGACGTAGTGCCGCGAGGAGGGGAGACGACCGGTGCACAAAACGAAGGAGGGATTAGAAAACGGCAGAGCCAAATGGAACGTGGAAGGTAAAGCCGTTGGTAGAGGGGACCCCAGACTCCAAGCAACCGTCGTCAGTATCGAGGATGTCTGCGAGGGAGTTGGAGCCGCTGAAGCTCAGGAAGCAGTCCACGCCCGGCGACTTCAGGTACTTCGAAGACACTGACACCGAGGTTGATACATCAAAATCGCCATCTACCCAAATAAGGATAGTGCCAATCGACAACCAGAACACAGTCACATCCAACACCAACTCTTATTTCAAGTGAGTCGTCTTTGTTTAAATGTAATTAATTTTTTTAATGAAATTTATCCCCCTGAAGTTTTATTACCATCAGTCTTTCCTTTCTGCTCAATAAGACCAATTGCTTTTCTTCCTTTTTAATACTCAATCTTACAAATTATCTTTGTTTGACAAAACTGCGCCAAATTACTTAAACTTCACCAAACGACAAACAAACTGCCTTAAAACATAAAATTTCAAAATACAAATTTTGTTTTACTGCTTTGTCATGTTTTGTCTCATTGCTTTATTGAAAATTTTTTTCATTTAGTTTTTCATTTCACTTAACGTTCGGATAATAGTTAATCTATTTGTACAAACCATTTTGATTGCGATGCTATATTGAATATTTATTAGGCACTGAGACACGACCGGAACAGTTATGATAGGAATATTTAATTTCGATCTATTTTCACTCGTTTGTTTGTTCAATCACCTTCCTTGTAATGAACAATTTTGGAATTTAAAAAAATAAATAAAATAGAAGATTAATCCGGAGGAAAGGGCACGGCTAAAAATCCTATTAAACATGAAAACGGCTAGAATAAAATATCTGATAAAGCTCAGAACAATTATGGGAAAGAAGACGCGAGGAAGGGCAGAATGGAAAATCTTATAAATATAAAAATACACAAGAAAAAGATAGCAAAAGAAGAAGCGAACATTGAAAGAATAAAAAAATTGATAAATATGACAATAGCCAAAAAATCTATACGAAAGACGAAGTTAGCAAGGCAATAATAAAAAGTCCGATCAGTATGACCACAAGCCAAAAAGATATGCTAAAAAAAGAAGCAAACAGGACAAGAATAAAAAATCTGATAAATATGACAACAGCCAAAAAACCTACGCGAAAGAAGAAGCTAACAGGGCAGAAATAAAAAATCTGATAAGTATGACAACAGCGGAAAAACTTACATGAAAGAAAATCCGAGCAGAACATGAATAAAAAATCTGATAAATATGAAGTAGTCCAAAAAAGTATGCCAAAAAAATAAACAGAACAGGAAAAAAATTAGATACATATGGTATGGTATATAATATGGAAAGTGTAAATTCATGTTCATTGATTCCGGCTTGAATAAATTTTACTGTATATCAGGATTTTGAGAACTCACAGTCAGTAGTAGGCCTGCACTCGGAGATGTCCATGAAATTGCTTTGTACCTCCTCTCCTTGCAAGTGGTGAATTTATCGATTAGAGGGTTGCAATTTTGAGTCATTTCTATATACACGCCTATCAAAGATTTGCTGTCTCCACCGGTATAAGTTGATCCTGCCCATCTGGGAACTTGGTCCATTAGTTCTGGCCCACAAAGTAAAAAAAAAGTGCAAATTGTACCTATTGCAAGGTGCACTACATAAAAGTGTTCATGTATCTGAATATATGGTAAAAAATAATGGTAATGAGGTTACTAGGAAGCGGGGTTTGTGCTCCCCAGGCACTGCAGCCTTCTGGCTTATTGTACCTTCCTAGTGACCTAGTTCAGTGCAGTAGACTCAATCCTTCTTCTTAGAAGTATCAGGTCATTGACTGTCTCTGCTACAATTTCATTTCCTAGATTTTTTCGTATGCCAGGTTAAATCTCTCAGATGTTTTCTCTGCCAATGACTGGTTAGTAGTCCTACCACTACTAACTCCTCTGAGTTTGCCCTCTCCCATTCCAGCAGTGTTTTTGCCAGTCTTGGTGATGGTTTTTTCATTTAAAGGTTCATGCTTACATATCAGCTGACCAATGTCAAACCTATCACTGTGTCTAGCGCCGCTAGAGTTTATCCACTTTTCCTTTTTTTTTGGATCCATTCTGCGATGGAGGATTCTATATTTGTTTTTGTCATCGTTAGTATAGGTTCGAGGCCTATGTATGGTCTTACGGATCCTCCTTTGGCCAGTCTGCTTTCTCGTTACCCAAAATTCCTCTGTGCCGTGGCACTCAAGATATCATCAGGTTCTTGTGTGTCCCCAGGTTTTGGATGCATTCACTGACTAATTTTGATGTGTTTTTTTACATGCTAATGCTTTAATAGCTACTTGGCTAACGGATCTTATGAGGATTTTTTTGCCAGTGAAAACACTTTTAAGATTTTCCAGGGCACAAGCATTGATGGCATATATTTCTGCTTGAAAGACCGAAGTGTACTTCCCTAATGTGTTTGTTTGCTCATGTTTAGCGCTTGTAGATACTTATGAACATAGACGAAGAAATCCCAATTAAGAAGCGAACTAGGAAAAAATTAAAAATTGGTAAATATGAAAACAGCCCAAAAACAAAGAAGAGGCAAACAGAGCAAGAATAAAAAAATCAGATATGTATATCTATGCGAAAGAAGAAGCTAACAGGGCAGGAATAAAAAATGAGAGAAACATTCCTCAGTAAATTATGGGAAAGAAGAAGCGATATGAGAAAAATTAACAATCAGATGGATATAAAAACAGCCAAAAATGTATGCGAAAGAAAAACCGAAGAGAGAAAGAATAGAAAAATTTCTATAAATAAGAAATAGTCCATAAAAGTATGCAAAAGACAAACCGAACAGGACAAAAATACATATGAAAGCAGAGAAAGAGGTTACCCCAAATAAGAACTTGGAAAGAATAAAAATTTGATAAATATGAAAACAGCCTAAAAATGTGTGGGAAAGAAGAACAGAACAAGGCAATAATAAAAAAAGGTACGTTTAAAAATAGTCAAAGAAGTGTGCAAAAGGAACACTAAAGAATAAAAATTTTGATAAATTCGACAATAGCCAAAAAATCTATACGAAAGACGAAGCTAACAGGGCGGGAATAAAAAATCTGATAAGTACGAGCAGCGGAAAAACGTATGCGAAAGAAGAGCCGAACAGGGCAACAAAAAAATAGGTATAAAACTAATCAAAGAAGTGTGCAAAAAAAACTAAAGAGGGCAAGATTAAAAATCTGACAAATACAATAGCCAAAAAATCTATACGAAAGACGAAGCTGACAGGGTAGGAATAAAAAATCTGATAAGTACGAAAGCAGCACAAAAACGTATGCGAAAAAAGAGCCGAACAGGGCAACAATAAAAAATAGTATAAAAATAATCAAAGAAGTGTGCAAAAAACTAAAGAGGGTAAGAATAAAAATCTGATAAATATGACAATAGCCAAAAAATCAATACCAAAGACGAAGCTAACAGGGCAGGAATAAAAAATCTGATAAGTACGAGCAGCGCAAAAACGTATGCGAAACAAGAACCGAACAGGCAAGAATAAAAAATTACGTAAATATGAAAATAGACTAAAAGATGATGAGAAAAAAGAAGTGACTAGGGAAAGAATAACAAAACTGATAAAAGTGGAAACGGCAAGAATAAAAAAATCTGAACGAGCTAAAAACCGCCCAAAAACTGATGCAAAAGATGAACAGAACAGGGCAAAAATAAAATCTGATAAATCTGAATCTAGTCTAAAACGTTATACTCGAAATGGAGCTAACTCGGCAATAGTAAAAAATAAGTTTAAATATGAAACAGTCCAGCAAAAACAAAAAGTGGAAATCTTAACTCGGCCATGAAAATGTCCTTTGTCCTTTTAACAAATTCATCCGCGCGGAAACAATAATTACAGTGACAGTTATATTATCATTGCCACCATAAAAATTGATAATTTTGCCAAATTCAATTGATTTTCTAAATGATTATCAACCATGTTGAGCATTGATTTCAAATATTTCACTTTTGTTAAAAATAAAATATAAAGAAATTAATGAAGCATATTGCGCGATGCAATGTAACAATAATTACTAAATAAATGACTATTCAGTTAAAACCAATTTTGAAAAGATAATCAAATATTTACCAAACTTTTTAACACGTCTGATTTTAGTGCAAAAATTTGAGCTAGTCTCCGCTTTTTCTCGTTATACGTTCCTCGTTAGCATTTTTCCTTTTCAGTAGATTTGACGAGATCAACCGGTTGGAAAACTGGCCAATTGGTCGACCCAAAAAAATTCTCAATAAAAAAAAATCGTGGCGAGAATGTTGTGTCTTTTGTTTGGTCGTTTTCGATCATTTTAATGCGTCTGTAGTTGATGTTTTGATTTGTCTGATGGTCGGTCATCTTCAGCAGTGTAGCGGGTACTGGGTTATATGCAGCGTGAGGCAACGAAGACCGAGACCGAAAAACGAGTCAATTTTGTAATTCATTGTGGTGGACAGTGTAATTTACACATTAAGAGAAAATCCGGTCCCAGTTTTATAGTTACTGCAAGACCTAAGAAATCGTCACGAATAAATTGTATTATAAAGAGAAAAATGGATGATCGCAGGCTAATAAAGTACTGGCAAATGTTCAACATACATATTGTAGAAAAATACTTGGAAATTGTCAACATTTATAATTAAGGAATAGTTCATTTGTCGATATTATAATATCCTGACTTACTCAAAAGAATTTCAAGTTTATTGTCAGAATGTACAGTCGTTGAATGTGATAACTTAGGTATTACTCAGGCTCCTTCCCATCTGGCTTTCCGGTCTTTTAGGCATTTACTCTGGTTATCAGTAGTTTAACTTCGCGATCTTTCGCCAACAAATCGCATATTAATTTCTGATGTCATTATGTCATCCAACTACATACCGCATTCTCTACCTTCTTTTTAATCTGGTAACCTGGCTTTCTGGACTTCTTTATAGACTAGTCTGTACCGAAGTCTTCCTACTTGCAAGTATGATAGAAGGTTAGGTTTGCAATCCTTTGCCAAACTATCACATTTAAAGGTGAGGTCATCTCCATGTCATCCAACCAACGCGTTTTCGACCTATTCTTTAATCTCTTTATACCTGGTTTTCTGGACTTCTTTATAGATAGTCTGATCTCTACTAATGTCTTCCTACTTGCAAGTATGTTAGAAGGTTATGATTGCAAGCCTTTGCCAAACTGTCACATTTAAAAGTGAGGTTATCTCCATGTCATCCAACCAACGCGTTTTCGATCTATTTTTTAAGCTCTTTAGACCTGGTTTTCTGGACTTCTTTATAGACTAGTCTGTACCGAAGTCTTCCTACTTGCAAGTATGATAAAAGGTTAGGTTTGTAATCCTTTGCCAAACTATCACATTTGAAGGTGAGGTCATCTCTATGTCATCCAACCAACGTGTTTGCGTCCTATTCTTTAATCTCTTCACACCTGGTTTTCTGGACTTCTTTATAGACTAGTCTGTATCGAAGTCTTCCTACTTGCAAGTATGATAAAAGGTTAGGTTTGCAATCCTTTGCCAAACTATCACATTTGAAGGTGAGGTCATCTCTATGTCATCCAACCAACGCGTTTTCGACCTACTCTTTAATCTCTTCACACCTGATTTTCTAAATTTCTTTACGGATAGTCTGTTCTCTACTAAATCTTCCTACTTTCATGTAGGATAGACGGTTTGTCTTTCATTCATTTTGACTTTCAATTAGTCTTCAACGAATTTTACCTACTCGAACGTTTGGTAAACAGTTGGGCAATCTTTGGCAGCCCTCTTACGTTGGAGGACATACGAATCAACATTGTCCAACCTAGTATTTAAAGAAGTAGTTTTTTGTTGCACCTAATAGAAGGTCAGATTTCAAATTCTATGCGTCCTATCTTATTAAAATAATGGAGGTCATAGGTTTGTGTACGTGAAACTGTATTATCTAAACTACAAGTATTACAAAGTTTAATTATGTAAATATAACATACAAAATAGTTTTTTTTATGGGGAAAATTGGAAAAATATTATTTTTATTTTTACGTATCGTTTATGAAATTTGGCTTTTTTTGAATATTTATTATCATTAAAGCCGGGCAAACAAGGTCGAAGATAAAGGGTAAGCGTTCGCGTGACGACAAAAGTCTTAAACCTCAAATTCGTACAGGCGTTTATAATTCATGTTCTTATCTCATCGGATTTGTATATTGAAAGTATGGAATTTGAAATTTTATAGGTGCCCTCAAAACCGCGATTATTTGAGATCCGTACAACTGCGAATGTCAGGGTTAGAGCTTGTTTGTTTTGATTTGGGTGTCTAAAAACCGCCTTATCAGGACGTAAATATGCGCTATAATCATTTTCTTAAAGAGAAAAAAGTCAATATTCTTTCTGTAGTTTCCGCTTTGATATTATATTAACCGTATACGATTAAAGTTGGGGTTTTTAACTGTGTACCAAAGTCTTTAATGTCAATATGAATTCATTTTAATTATGTTTAATTGTCCTCTGATCCAAAGTCTATGTAAAACTGACAAGTTTTTTTAACTAGCACACACACATCCTGGCAAAACGGTGATTAATCCGTTAGAATTTTGTACGTATCATGCGAGGGGATCTTTTTGCTTAGCCGGCCAAGCGTTTAACATGTTTCCTGCTGATATTTGCGAATGTTACTGACAGAACGGAATCGGCGTTTCCACACGACCTATAAAATAGAGA